CTCCGGCTAAACTTTTTATTAAATACTTGCATTATTTCCCTTTTCAGCAACCCTATAGGACTTACAGTTGAAGTATTATTTATTATTTCTGTATTGCAGGTGAGAGACTGAGGTTTCATGAGGACAGGTCACTGGCCTAAGCTGGGAGCTATGCAACAGCCTCCAGAAAACAAATCCTCCCCTTTCAGCCACTAAGCTATGGATGTTCTGTCCCTAGGTGGTGTGGACTAAAGAAGTGTCTACCCCAGGAGTGAAGTTATCATTCTTCCTCGGGAACCTTAACAGTGTGCCAAATCCATGTGGGCATCACTGACCCTCCAACTCCCAGTGCCTGCCTCTTCTGAACTGTGTAGGGGAGAGGAGGCTTACCAGTGTCGCTGGAGATGGTGATGCCTGGGTCGCTGTGGGACCGTGGCAGCAGCAGCAGTGGTGGGGAAGCCGGATGAGGAGGCCGGTGCCCCGGGGGAGTGAGGGAACCTGAGCTGTCGCTGAAGCGGCGAGTGGGGGCTCGGGTGGGAGGGGCCACAGGTGGGCGGCTGCCTCCCCGGGGAACCCGCCGCCTCAGCTCAGGGAAGCAGGGTCCCACCCAGGGTGGCCAGCCCTCCAGCCGGTGGCAGCTGCGGGCAGCAGGAGGGACACCCAGTGAAGGTGGGGCCTCTGGGGCAGAACAGGAATAGGAGCGGGCAGCCCGTGGGGGCCGCCGTGGCAGGGGGCTGTCCTCAAAGGGGCCCCGTAGGCCACAGTCCAGGCTGAGGCAGTAGCCTGCGCGGCTACGCTGGATGGAGCGGAAGAGCACATAGTCAACAGAGCGCACGGAACCCTGCAGCTCCAGCAGGCACGAGTCCTCCGACGGGCTGGAGCCCCCAGGGAGGTCGCCGATGGCTGACAGCACCAGAGACCCACTGTCCATGGACACTGTGGACAAGGCACAAGTGGCAACAGCCTTGGTCTGGCACTGCCTAGCCTTCTGGAGCTGCTCTGCCTTAACCTCAGAGGAAGACCAGGGCTCCAAGAAGCCACATCCCTTGTTTGCCCCAAAGCCACCAAGGCAACCTGTCTTCCTCTTCTTTCACCACTCCCTCAGCCTACTGTCCCTGGCAGCCCAGGTCAGCCCTTGCCCACCCTCCCCACGCTCTGCTCACCATCTACAATGGAGGCCACTCGCTCGCAAATGCAAGAGCCATCATGAAGCTGAGGGTCAAAGAGGGTGGCCTGCAAAGACACAGGGACCAAGGTCCAACCCTACACCCTGACATGCCCCCCCCCCATGTGTGGACAGAGCTCTGGAGACGGAGATTCCAGATCAACTTTGTCACTCTGAATAAGTCACTTATGTGGGACTCAGTTTCCACATGTGTACCAAAGATGATAGCTCCCATCCCGCCTTCCTCACCAGGCTCTAAGAAGATGGCATTCACTAGCACTACAGAGAGCACCTCAACTGCTGTGATCTTTATCCAGCAACGACAGCTTGTTCAGCTGTCTGGGGCTAGCCTGCTCCCCAGCCCTTGCCAAGGCACGCCCTCACCTGGCTGTCTCCTCGTAGCCCCATGACGGCCTCATAAGAAGGAGGGCGATCAGCAGGGTACAAGGGCACTGGGCTGTCCATGGAGCCATTGTATGTGATGCTGACAGGACAAGGGGCAGGTCAGTGGGAGAAAATAGCTGCTGCTCCACAAGAATCCCACCCCAGTGATCCCAGCCACCCTGGGCCCCATTCTTTTTTTTGAGACAGAGTCTCATGACAGAGTGCCATGGCGTCTTTAGGTCACAGCAGCCTGCTTAAGCAATTCTTTTGCTTTAGCCTCCCAAATAGCTGGGACTACGGCTGCCACAATGCTTGGCTATTTTTAGAGACGGGGTCTTGATCTAGCTCAGGCTGGTCTTGAATTCATGGGCTCAGGCAATCCACCTGCCCCTGCCTCCTAGAGTGCTGGATTACAGGTGTGAGCCACTACACCAGCCTTGGACCCCTTCCTTAGTTCTCCCAGCAGGACCCCACCAGGCCTTACCTCTGTGCATCTGTTTCTGAGCTGCAGGTGTACTCTGGGGGATAGTAGGGTGGTGGGGGCACAGGTGGTACAAATTCCTCCAGGTCCAGCATGGCGTGCAGGAGTGGGGCTGGGGGCGAGGATGCACAGCCCAGAGGCCCCAGAGGGCCCGAGACTGAGCGCTCAGGAGCCAGCTGCAGAGGAGTAAGCAGGTCCTTAGCTCCTAACTCCTCTCTTATTTACATTATTTTCTCTCCAAGAAACCCCCATTCTGGCCCTTCCCTCACCCAGAACTAGCTCATCCTTAATACCACCCCCACCTGGACCTCTTGCTCTAGCCTTGCTCACCCAGAAATTCACCCTTTTGGCAGCCCCACCCCCACCCATAATTACCACCTGTTCTGTCTCCACTAGAGTGTCCACTCTTTTTTTTTTGGCCGGGGCTGAGTTTGAACCTGCCACCTCTGGCATATGGGACCAGCACCCTACCCTTTTGAGCCACAGGCGCCGCCCTAAAGTGTCCACTCTTTATCCTCTTGTGCCTCTAGGACTCCACATTATCCAGGCCTATTCTCTAACCCTGCTTCTCTTGGTCCCAGACTGGCATCATGTACACATTACCCCTTCTCCCCCTCCCTTTGGCCCCCAAACATCCCTCCAGTAGATACGCAGATCTAGGAGACAACCCCATAGGCCCTGGTGGGGGAGAAGCCAGACCTGTAGCCACTGCTCCCCCAGCCCCAGGCCCAGCACACATCCCTGTACCCCACCACACCTGCCTGGCTCTGGCCCCAGCTCCCCTCTCACTGTGTGCATGAGGTCCAGAGAGAAGATTTGGATGCAGCAGACAATAGCAGAGAGGGTACAGATTATGGCAGCACAGATGGTGAGTCCACAGACGCTGAAGAGCAGGTTCTGGGAAGAGAAGGGAAAGGAGAAGGGGAGTGAAGGGAGGGGTAAGTCCCACATATTCATTCTGGGCTTGTGGGTCCCCCAGGAGGGAGACATGGATGAGAACCAGGAAGATGTTTGGGGGTGCATGCTCACCTTGAGGGCCCCCCGGGCTTCATCACAGGTGGAGTTAGGAGTAACTTTCAGTTCCTGCCCTGAGTCTGGACAGGGCCGGAGTAGAGGAACAGAGGGACAGCACACACAGACCTTCCCATCCTGATGGAATCAGGGAGGGTGAGGCAACCTAAGTCAGGACAAACCTAGATGTTTTGTACACCTCCCACCACCAGTTCCTTCCAGCTGTCCCTCCTCAAATCTCACCATGGAGCATTCTCGAAAGTCTTGGGCCAGCTGAGCATTCTTACAGGAGAGAACAGAGCCAGCCATGGTAAGCATGACACAGAGCACCGAAAGCAAGGAGAAGAAGGAAATCTGGTGGAAACAGGGCACAGACTCAGGACTGGGACCCTCATGAGTACCCCTCTACCATGGGTGGGACCTCCCTCCTTCACGGACTTCGTGTCCGGCCGGCATCAAAAGGAGAGCTGTTCCCTTCTTGAGCAAAATATGGGCATCCCTTCAGGTGCTAGGCACCTGCCTCTCAGTGGACGCTGGACCCTGGCACCTACCACTAGAGTAAATGGCCGCTTCCAGGACACAATGCCAACTACCCCGGAGAACGCCAGCTGGGGACAGAGTGGACACAGGCTGAGTCTGGCAGGGGAGGCACCTGAGTGAGCCCCTCACCACAGGATGCGCCCAGCCCTGTAGGGAGGGAGAGGACCAGGAGAAGACGGAGAGGGGAGGATGTGGACTTGGGGCTGGTGTGGAGGGGTGGGGCCCGGAAACCTCCCCCAACCAACAACTGTGCACTCAACTCACCGAAAACCCAGCCCAAGACGGGCAAGACCTCTTGATGCTCTCGGTGGTGGTGACTGAAGAGGCCACCATGCTGAAGGTGACCACCAGGATGCCCAGGAGCACCTGCGCCAGCCCCAGCGTGAGCAGGGCCTGCAGCCAGGGTCGGTGGAGGCGTAGGTGAGTAAGGCCCCGGGTGCTGGGCCGGCTGGTCAGAGAGCGGCTGGAGTCGCTAGGCGAGGGCATCGTGCCTGCCGCACGGCTGCCTGCCCCTCGCTCGGTACCCGCTGACACTTGAGAGCATCTCAGAGACGACCAGGGCCCCGTCCTTTCTCCTCTCCACCCCCCTCGCTCTAGAGCCCACCCCGAGGCTGGGTCCCCTGGGGCCTGGCCCCGGGCCGCCAGCTGGGGCGGGGCCGGAGCGAGGGGCGTCACGCAGCGAGCGCGGGGTGCTGCCTCCCCGCTGCAGGCACCGGGTGGGCACCGTGCCCGGGGCGGCGACGAGGACGCGGGAACGTCGGCTCATCGCATCTCCCTGGGGACAGGAGCTCCGAGAAGGGCTGGTCCCGGAGTGAGGAGAGGACGGCGGTCCGAGCCGGGGAAGGGCGGGGCGGGTAAAGGACAGATGTCCAGGGAAGGGCAGGGCTAACGCAGGGGTCTGGAGGTGCAATCGGCTCTCGCAGGGTAGTAGCGGGACCGGGCTGCCGAGGTGAAAGAGGGAGAGCTGCGGCGCGGCCAGCTCTGGTCGCCGACCGGTGCCTGCCTCACCACGCCCCGCTAGAGCTAGCTCTGGCTGCGGCAGGTCGGGACCCAAGACGCGGGAGGGAGACGCGCCCGTGCGGGGGTAGGACCGGAGGCGCGGTGCACCCCGGGAGTTGTAGTTTTGGGCGGGAGAAGGCAGCGGCCCCCCGCCCGTCTCGGCTGCTGCCAGTCCTCCCCGCCCCGCGTGCCCCTGCATTCCCCTGAAGGCAGTAGCCCCTCCCTGGGCCCCTGTGGAGCGGCTGGAGCTCCAAGGCCTTGTGTCCTGTTGGGTCCTGAGCACCCATGCCCCGCATTGGTCCTGGGGCTTTGTCCCCCGCAGCTCTGGGTTTATTCAAAGCCAGGTCCCAGCGAACCTTCAGAGCTCACATTCCACTTCCACCCCGCTCTCCTTTCTCTCTTGCAAGGCCTAATTCCCAATAAAAATACAAGAAACAGGGATGTAAGTTCCAGTTCCACTTTCTTTTTTATTTAAATAACCGAAGCAACAGCCTTGGCACAGCAGAGGGAAGCTAGGTTGGGGTGTGTGAGAAGTGGCAGTGGTGTGGCCTGGTGCAGGGGAAGAGTGAGCAGTGACTGGGTCACAGTGGATCCCAAAGTCCCTAAGTCAGGTTCAGCAGCCATGGCCATGGGGTAAGGGGCACTAGAGAGGCCATCAAATGGTGATGTCTCCAGAGACCTCAGGGATGGGAACTAAGTGAGCTCCCCAAGTGGAGGGGCTAAGGTACCCCTGTCAGGGTTCACGGGCCCCGGAAGGCATTCTGGGCAGCCCCAGCAGCTGCATTAGCAGCTGCGGTTCGCACTGCAGGGTTGGAGAAGACGCCAGCAGCAAATTCCTGCTGGGCCTTCTGGAAGCTGGCACCTGTGCGGCGGTATAAGGAGTGGATCTGTAAACAGAGAACAAAGATGTGACAGCCGGTCCAGCCAGTTACTCCAGCAGAATACTGCAATTCCCACTCACCCACTGCTGCTCTCACTTCTCCTCCTCACTGACCCTCCTTCCCAACACACACATATACTGAAGCAGACTGCCCAGATGTCCATTAGCTGAGAACTTGCCCAGAAGCCTGGCACACTTCAGTTACTCTGAATGCTCCGCTCAGGCCCCAGGGCCTCACCCTCTTGGCTCCACCTCAATACAGTGCCTCACCCGCTTTAGCATCACAATCCCCAGCACAGCGATGCCAGTGAAGAAGAGGGCAACCAGTAGCATGAGGACAGCCACACCCGGGCTGGCCTTCAGCACCACCAGAGCAGATATCCAGCCACTGTGAGGAGGGAGGATGTGTTAGTGAAGAGGGCTGCCCACAGTGGCCTCTACCCTCCCTGCTTCTCCACTGGCTACAGTTACCAACAGGCCCTTCTCCCAACCTTCCCGTCCACAACGGCGGCAGTGCCGCTATCAACTTGGCAGCTGTCCACACACCAGTCTCCACTATATCCACTGACTTCATAGCTTAATTTCAGTTTCAGAACCATTAGCTCCTATCTCTCTACGCTGTTCCAAGTAGTTCTCTGGATTCTTCCTCCTTGCTTCAACTGTGGTTTGTATGCTTCTCCAGGAAACCTTCTCTGACTGACCTTCTCTTTTTTTCTTTTTTTTGAGACAGGAGCCTCAAGCTGTCCCCCTGGGTAGAGTGCCGTGGCATCTCAGATCACAGCAACCTCCAACTCCTGGGCTCAAGCGAGTCTCCTGCCTCTGCCTCCCAAGTAGCTGGGACCACAGGTGCCCGCCACAATGCCCAGCTATTTTTTGGTTGCAGCCATCATTGTTGTTTGGCGAGCCCGGGCTAGATTCGAACCCGCCACCTTGGGTGTACATGGCTGGCACCTTAGCCATTTGAGCCACAGGCGCTGAGCCTGACCTTCTCTTTCAGATTGACCTGTCTGGAGTTCTGTCTAGGCACTCTCTAACCTAAAAGTATGTCTCATAGTTTATTAAACAAGCGCCTCCCCAAAATTAAAACCATTATTTCCTTTTTCTCCTTCCCCAGCACCCAGGAGTAGAGGAAAGGGTAAGGGGAGATAGCAGCCTCACAGACCTGAACCCCCAACCTGGGATACCAATGGCCTGGAGAACAAAGAGTACATCCTGGACAAAGAAAATGAAGAAGAAAACGAAGAAATTGAATGAACTGTCACTCCTGCAAAGAGAGAAAAATGGGAGAGTGAGAAAAATCAGGGCTGAAGGAGCAGACATGGGGCGATCCCAGATCCTCATCACTCCCTATACATGCACACTTACCGGAAAGCCTTATACATGGGGCGGTACCAGCAGACAAAGGAGCAGGGAGTGAAAAGCAGGACCCATAGGAGAGAAAGCCCAAAGCCGGAACCGTTGCTGGGATCCACACAGAAGCTGGCCAGGCAGGCAAGGAAGTTCAGGAGAAGAGCCAGAGTGCTGCCTAAGGCAGAGGAATAGGATGACAGGTCCTTCTGGGCTGCAGTGAAGCATATTTCCCATCTATGCTTACCCTGCAACCCTCACCAAATGTGGCACAGTAAGGACAGGAAGCTAGCTTCTGCCTTAACAGAATCATCAACAGAACAAGCAAATCTCAATCTTGAGTGGTCACCTTGCACAGACATTTAAAGACTTCAGAATACATTTCTGTACGAGGACAAGAAAAAGTGGAGAGAGGGCAAGAACATACATTGGCTAGCAGGGTGGCAAACAGGTTCTAATATGTTAAAAACAGCAACCCAGGAAGATTCTTGGAGAAACTGACTTAATATTAAAAAAACATTTTTTTTTTTTTTTGGTAGAGTCAGACTCTCACTTTATTGCTCTTGGTAGAGTGCCGTGCTGTCACATCACAGCAATCTCCAACTCCTGGGCTTAGGCGATTCTTTTGCCTCAGCCTCCCAAATACTGGGACTACAGGCCCCCACCACAATGCCTGGCTATTTTTTTGTTGCAGTTTGGCCGGGGCTGGGTTTGAACTGGCCACCCTCAGTATATGGGGCCGGCGCCCTACCCACTGAGCCACAAGTGCCACCCCTCAAAACAATTTTTTTGAGACAGAGTGTCAGTCTGTCATTCAGGATAGAGTGCCGCAGCATCAGCCTACTTCATAGCAACCTCACGCTTCTGGGCTCAGGCGATCCTCCTGCCTCACCCTGAGTAGCTGGGACTACAGGCGTCCCCCACAACACTCAGCTAGTTTCTCTACTTTTATTTACTTATTTATTTTTGAGTCAGTCTTACTCCGTCACCCTGGGTAGAGTGCCGTGGTGTCATCATAGGTCATAGCAACTTCAAACTCTTGGGCTCAAGCAATCCTGCCTCAGCCTCCCAAGTAGCTGGGACTACAGGTGTCTGCTACCATACCGGGCTAGTTTTTCTATTTTTAGTAGAAACAATGTCTTGTTCCAACTTCCTAAGCTCAAAGGATTCTCCCACCTTGGCCTCCCAGAATGCTGGGCTTATAGGTGGGAGCCACTGCACCAAGCTTTAAAATTCAAATGGTATAGGGAGATGAAGTGTGTAGTTCTAGGTGAGTGGGCCATGGGAGTTAAGAGAGCTACCTGTAACTTCCTCCAAAAGGCTTATCACTACTCACACATCCAGAGGTAGTACATGGTGGATACAGTCTTCTGAAATTCTTGGGGAATCTCCATGGAGATGTCCTGGAAAAAGCAGGGCTGAACTGGGCAAAAAGAAGGTAGAGGGGGCCAATTGTTCTGTCGAGCTGTAAGGAACAAAGAGAGCAGGAGGACCCCAGAAGTGAGGCAGAGACCAACAAAGAAATCACTCACCCTTCCTTTCATCCTGGGTCCTCTCTTTTACCTCCAATTTAGGGCTCAAAGAGACAAGGAAGAGTGGAAAACATAAAAGTAATTAACAAGTGTTTATCATTACTTATGATATCTAAGCTCTGCACTAAGCACTTTACATACATGACCTCGTGCAACCTCACAACAGTCCTGTCAGATACAAACACTATTTTCACTTTACAAATAAGGAAACTGAGGCACTCAGGATTAAATAACTTGCCTAAGACCTCACAATAAACGATACCTCCAAAATTCAAACTCAGCAGTCTGACTCCAAAGCCCCTCCTCTTAAGGCTTTTTTGCTCTTTCCAAACCATTAGATGCTTGCCCCATTCTATCAAAGACCCACTTACAAGCAGTGCCCCCCAGGGCGGCATGCTGTAGTTCTCGCTCTCTACGATCCAACTCCTCTGCTTTCCGGTTGAGCTCCTCCTGTTTCTTTAGCAGCTCCGCTGTGGCTGTTACAGCTGAGGCCTGCTCAATGTGAGCAGAGGAAATGTGACCCCTGGGTCCAAAGACTGGCCCTTCTCCCAATGCCCCTACTGCAAACCTGCTTTACCTGAGTACTGTAGGAACCATAGTTCTTGGGTTCTGTGGGACTGAGTTTTCTTGAGGGCTGTATGGAGGGAGCTGAAGGTGCAGGCAATGGGGCAGGGGCAGGAGGCTCATAGGCTGGTGATGGCTGTTGGGGAAAAAACCTTAGGGATCATATAGTCCCTTATAACACAGGAATTTTGAATGAATACTTTTAGGCCCTTAACTCATTATCTAAGGCAGCATCCTTTCCTCCTATTGTTAGGAAACTCATTCTTATGTTAAATTTGTGACAGAGAACTTTTGATGACTTCCAGCAGCCTTTATCACCCTCACATCAAATTCCTTACCAGCTGACTCAAAGCACTCACCCACTGTCTCTACTCCCTTAACTTCTTAAAACTCACCATCACGTATTCCAGTGGGACAGGTGTATTCCGTACTTCCTGCCTTCAAACTGCACATCTAACATCAACTCAACCTGCTCCAACCTTTTTTTTCTTCAAGGAAGTGTTCCCAGACACAACCTTAGTTCAGGCCCTGCCAGTTTCCAGGTCCTCCTAGGACTGACTTTTAGAACCCAAGCATGGCCGCATCCGTAGCTCAATGGGTAGGGCACCAGCCACATACACTGAGGCTGGAGCGTTCAAACCCGGCCTGGGCCAAGCTAAAACAACGACAACTGCAACAAAAAAAAATAGCCAGGTGTTGTGGCAGGTGCCTGTAGTCCCAGCTACTTGGGAGGTTGAGGTGAGAGAATCACTTAAGCCCAAGAGTTTGAGGTTGCTGTGAGCTGTGACACCACAGCACTCTACCCAGGGCGACAGCTTGAGACTCTGTCTTAAATAAATACATAAATAAAACCCTGAAGCAGCTGAATCTTGGTCCTGGTGTCCCTGGGAGGATTAGGCATCCCTTGGTACACTGGCCTCTCTCAGAGAGACGAAGATCACAGGGCCTCTTCCTTCCTCTGCATGCAGAGAGGTCCCCTAAGACGAGACCGGGCTCACTGGCGAACCTTCCTCGCCCCACTGTTTCCCTCTGTGCTCACCTCCCGGGCCTCAAAAGGGTTGTAGACGTCCAGGGTGGCATACTGCGGGCTGGGTCGGTGCTGGATCACAGCTGGGTCCTGAGGGCAGAGACCTAGGGCTCAGCCGACACCTGGTGCCTCCTGGGGTTCTCAGGGAACTCTCCTAAATGCCCATGGCTCCGATTACTGCACCTTCGGGCCACGCTGCTGCCCCGACATTGGCCACAGATTCATCACCCAGCCTTGCCCCACAGGGTACTCACTGGAGTCACTGACACCCCCACGTGGCGGCCCTTCCCAGGATCAAACGTCACGAATGGGAATACAAGTTAGCCCGACCCGACGGAACCGGGAACAGGAAACTGACTGCCCGAAGGAGGCCGGCGCCAGTCACCTGAAAGGGGTTGTCAAGCTCGCTAGGCTCAGCGAAGGGGTTCCCGCTGTCTGTATTCTGAGCCATGTCTATGATCGCGGCCTCAGCCGCTCACGGCCCTCCACGCCTCTGCCGCGGAGGCCCCCGGACTCTCTGCTCTCTCTGTCGGCCGCGCGCCGATTGGCCGTAGCTGCCGGAAGGGTCACAAGCCCCCGGAGCCGCTGCGCGACGCGCCTGCGTCCTCGCCGAGAGCAAAGGCGGAAGTGCGCCACGTGACACCCCGGCCCAGTCCCCACCCACTACGTAACGCCCCTCACCCACCGTGGGCCGCCAGAGGAACGCCGGGAGTCATTGCTTGTTTGGCCACCGCAGGTCGGACCTCCTTTCCAGCCCTTAACGCTGTGCGTCAGAGACGCGACCTCCCAACGACCCTCTCCAGCCTTACCTACGGGCAGCACTACACTCCTCAGCAGCACCACCCGGACAGCAGGGCCTACGAAAGCAGTGCTGCTGCGTTTGGTGTACACCGGATGGTGGAGACTGCCCCTCACCGGAGCAACCCCCTACCCCGACCTCGGACTCCGGGGTGGGGGTCAGATGAAGCACGTCATTTTATTTCACAAAGTCTGTACAAAATTCCTTATAAAAAGGGGTTCCACCCAGCGACTCCACTCTGCCCCCACCCAACTCCATCGAGGGAGCAGGCGAGGGCGGAATAATGGATGGAAGAGCATCATGTACAAGGCAGGGGCTGCAGTGACAGGTACAAGTTGTCGTATTTACACTATTTCACATATTCACAGGTACACAGAGCCAGGAGGAACGGTGGGCTCCTGCTCAGTTCTCTTGTATAAAAAAGCACCAGTGTCCTCGACTGGACACCCACTGCCATAGGAGATGCAGGGGGCCCAGGGCCTGATTGTCACCGACTGATATCCCGACTGGAGTCCCACAACTTGGTGTTGGGTGGCTCGGCTCGAAGTCGGGCAAAGAAAGGGTGCTGAAGGGATTCACCCAAGGTCAGCCTCTTAGCAGGTTCATACTCCAGCATGCTTTCAATCAGATCGAAGAGCTGGTGGTGTTCCTCTGCCTCCGAGGTCAGATACCGCTGGTGGAGGAGGGTAGGAAAAAGGTGAGGCAGTGTGCTGTAGAAATCTTGCCTCCTTCTTTAAGGCCCTACCTTTCAATCTTGGCAAATCAAGGCTCGGATTGCAACCAGTTTTTTTTGGTTTGTTTTTTGGGAGATAGCGTCTCAAGCTGTGGACCTGGGTAGAGTGCTGT